TGTTGAGCTATGTGAATGTTAACTGTCATAAATATATGAAGCCTGTCTACACAGTCATTCTGCTAATGACCCCACAAAATTGGTCTAAAAACAAGTCCTGGTCCTTTAGTGAGTTAACAATTTGAAAGGTTTCTCAACAAAGTAAAACTTTCAATTTCCCTAAGTTGCTAGCTCCAATGGCTAACATGAAGACAACAGGACAACTCTACTCATGTATTAGCAACTGATACATAATTTTAATATTTGTTCTTAACTGACAAGGTTTTGAGGCAATTTTACCTTGGTATTCCATTCTCAGAAAGAAGTAAATATGCCAAATTTACAAGACCTATAATTATTTCCTTGGTGTGTTTTTAAAGAACACCACCTCTTGAGACATAGACTCCATGAAAAGATGGCCTCTGTTACTTGTACAAATACATATATTCAGCAGTATGCCACTTATGCTTTTATAAGAATGTACCATTAGCTGATACACACAAAATCTCTATGAGAGAAAAGGTAGTTAAATAGGACTCAACCTCCCATTTCACAGATTGGAAGTTAAGCTAGAAATAGGTCAAGAATGCCACTTTAAATCATAGTCTTGGCTTGTGGCAGAATATTAGCTGACACAAGTTGGGTTTTGAATGATTTGGCAGCACAATTTCTCTGACTCACCTAAGTACCATCTTGAAGTATGTAGATGTTGATAATAAAATGACAATATAGTAATCTGTTCATAATCGGTGCATTTGTCTTAAGGAAAAAGTAAAGTGTATGGGTAATCTTATGTTTCATGCTAAAACAGAATCTCATTTAGTAGAATTACAGTTCATTCAAGATATCCACAGCTGCTTATCTGAATCATTTTTTCTGGAATCTTAGGATAAATCTATTAGTAAATTAAACAAAATTTGCAAGAAATTAAACACTTCACAGTCTACATGTGTCATTTTTAAAAAAAGACAAAATAATCAATTAACCTCATAGCAACAAATAAATTAACCTGTATGTTAAAAGAAAAGGAAGCTAGATAAGAGGGATCAAGATTGATGGGGTGGATAGGCTATAGGCTATATTAGATTGGCAAGGTAGGTGGCATCAATGAATACTTTATGTGAAGAGAGAATGGCCAAATAAAGATACCCACAGAGTGCCATGATATCTTTACAGAACAGGAAGGGTATCAGTGTAACTGAATAGGCATGTGCAAGCAGGGAGCTATGTGATGTGAGGTCAAATAATGAATGGAATGCAGATCATTCAGGGCTGCACAGATGTCCAGTGCTGGATGAACAGGGTATGATTTGGGGGCTTTTGGCAGGCAAATGCTATTATCTGACTTAAATTTTTAAAAAGAAGTTACCATTAATTGCTAAATCCTTAATATATGTATCATCCAATGTACTGCATAACCTGTGCCATGTACCCTAATGACAATATACCATGACAATACACCATCCTTTTCTCAGAATTAAATATCATCATTCTCACTTTTCACAAAAAAATATCAAGTCTCAGCATGTCTAAGGAACATCTCCGGATGGGATCTAGTAGCAAAGCCAGGTGAATAGCTTGTCTAACTTATTGTTAAATATTTATGAATATTTGAGTTATAAATGGAATAAAATAACACTTATGATTATCCAATTAGCCATCAATGGAGATGATCATCTCAGTATATTATTATTGAATTGAATATTAATTATTTCCCTTATTAATTTCTGGATGTGACACAGATTATTTACCTGAAATTTCTATTTCAATTGAAATAAGTACATTCAGGTTAAGACTTATAGATAAAGAGCTGGTTAAGCAGTGAAAGTGCACACTGCACTCAAGGAGGACCTGATTTTTTTCCCAGGACCCTCAAAACCTCCTGTGATGCCACCTCTAACCTCCAAGGACACCTGCATCCATGTGCACATACACCCACACAGACATAGATATAATTACAAATAAAAAGAACAAATGTTGTATGGCAGAAGTAATGATAATAATTTGAATATTCAAGAGTTTATTTAGAAAATTTTCACAGGTTTTCATTTATTTTCAATCATTTTTTCTAGTTGTCTATATGCACACAATTTTGCTATGTACATGGCATATGTCATCATATTCAATAATTATCAAAAGAATTGTAATACAAACCTTATTTCAGGAACAATAACTATGCATCTACAGAGGCAGAATTATTTCAAGCTCTCACAGTGCTAAAAACCAGAGATGGTGTGCTAAATTCTCAGGTAAAAGACTTAATTCTCTCACCGAGTGACACTGCTCACCAGAACATTGGCAACTAAAGAGGCAGCCAGGTACAAGTATTCCCATTTTCCAGATGGAAGAAAGCTAATCAAGAAATCAACATTTATTTTGCAGCCACAATAGGCAAATCAATACACAGTTGCATAAATCACATAGGGTTTATGATGCAACATCTCTATTATCTCACTAAAGTAATAAAAGGAGAATAGAGGTGAAATAAATATTACAAGATAATATGTAAAAAGTTCTATGTAAGATATAGAAATAGCAACTATTAAAGAAATTCAGCAGACAGAGAATTGAATCTTGGCATTTCAATTCAGTTAAGAAGGTCTGTACTAAAGACCACTGGCATCATAATGGTTTTCATAGAAATGTTAGCTTTTCAATCAGCAGAAAAGTGGAATAGAAGTCATTCTAGTAATAGAAGACAAATAGCCAAAGGCCAAGGGAGCAGATGGAAGGGATTGTTAAAAGAAACTAATAAAGTTTGAAGTGCAAGATAGATGAGAATTGACCTAATATGGAAAATGCATCCAGAAAAGTATGGATCCTAGGACAAGAGGAAAGAAAGTGGATTTGCTGAATTATTAGTATGGGGCACACATTTGTGTACCCTGTGTTGTTTTCCAATTTCCTAATCAACTTATAAAGTGGAAAGGTAGACACAGTACATCTACTTTTAATCAAATTAAACAGGGTTTCTCTGCTCCAGTTTCTTTGTGGGAGAGGGATGGCATAGAGTAGAACACTACTTTAGATAGGTTGTTGACACATACCCTATGTTCTTCCAGTACCCTCATCACCATCTATCAAATTGAGAACCATCAAAGGTATGTGACCAAGAGCACACATAAATTAGTAATGTTGGAGTAATAAGAGTAATCTGATCATGAGATATTAGCAGAAGGTCATTATTAAGGAGCTGGGGGAGAAAAAGAGTAACCTAAGAAATGACACAATATACTACATTAAACCAAGTAACAAGACAATGGGGATCTATATATGAATGTGAGCAAATGTAACTTTTAATATGACATGATACAAAAAAGAATTATATATCGTGGAAACATCTGAAGCCAAAAATAGGTAGCCTCTCCTACCCCACCAAGGAACCTAAAAGCAAAATATATTTTTAAACTGGAAATAAATGAGGCTCAATTTTTTCCAATTTATTTTGAATCAGGTGATTAATTAAAAAATAAAAATTCCTATGTCTGAGATAAAAGAGCTGCCCTAATACAATACAGATCCTGAACCACCATTATGAATTTGAGCAGCTTTGCACTACGCTTGTTTCTCTGGAATGAGTATGGTAAGAGTTGCTGGCATTTTCTCCTAACTTGAGTAACAAGCCCTTATGTTCTTGCTAGTTAAAAATATCCAGTATTAAGGAGATACAGCTTTCCTTTTGTTGTTTTCTGTTATAAAATTATTTTTTTAAAACTTTTGTCATAATAAAATAATCTCTTGGAGATGCAACTTATCACTGTCATGTTTGAAACACTGTTCTTCTCTGGGCTCTCTTTTAAACACAAGAAATTACTAAAGGATTTAAGTGAATATTAACAGTAGTTAAATGACATTCTGCTTAACAAATTGAGCTTGTTTTCCTACCACTCTGAAGACATCAGACAATTTCCAAAAATACACTTAAAATAAACAACCTTCTATCTTTATCAAAACAATTATTAATATAAAAATTCCGTTATTATGTCAATAACACATTTTGACAAAGTCACATATGACCCAGGCTGGATTGGAACTAACTACTTAGCTATGAAAGACCTTGTACCTTTGATCTGCTTACCTCTGTTTCTCAAATGCTGAGATCACAGGTGTGTGCCACCAACCAATTGAATACAAACCCTAATGAGCAGGATTAGAAAGCTGTTTGTGCTGGAGTAACCAAATAACTGTACTGAGCATGACCTGGCATAGAATGTTCAGTTAATTTGTCTTATTTTTGAATCAACTAAACATTTCATTAAGTATGTATACATGGACATTTTTATCACATGAAACTTCATATATATATATATATATATATATATATATATATACATACATACACACACACAAATGGGAGAATACTTGAATATTTAATAGTCTTAAACTCATTAGTGACAATATTTTGGCTTGTGATATTTTGAGAAGCCCTATATACATCTATTCTACTTTCAACTAACTCTAGCATCACTTAGCAACACAGAAGGGAAGTTAAAACTTAGCACGTTAGCCCACTCTAATTTCCTTTACTTTCTTGGATTAAAAGAAATTGTTTTTACTTGAAAATTGTTGTTGAAGTTTTAAATTCAACTATGTGCCAACTTTGTAAAGCAGGATTATAGCAATTACATATTTAAGACATGTGTATTAATTATTATTGTGTATCTATACTGATCTGAAAATAAGCATCTGTAGAAAGTGGTAATTACCTCTTGATACTACACAGGTACATCAGATAAATAATTACAAAGATTGAAAAGCAGACCCTTTCCAATAAATCAATCAAAAACTTTCCTCACACACACACATACACACACTATTCAGCATATATTAAATATGTTAGGCATGCACACAAAGAAAACAAGCTTATAAGGTTTATTTTATGTATCTTACTTTCTGTTATCTAGGACATCAAATGCCTGATAATGACTTAATGCATTAAATGTATTAAGATGAGAATATTGCCTTTAACTTGTAAAACCATTATTTTATGATGGTTTAAAATAAAGGAGAACTATTTTTACCTCCCAGTCCTGGTCTAAGCCGATTATCGTAACCGTCCAGAAGTCTGTCTAGAATTCTTGTAAAGATGGTAATGTTATTTTTAGCCTCATCTTCTTGGATGTTAGCCAGCACCAACCTAAACAGATAATTTTACAAATTGTATGTATTATATATGTACACATGGTGTTTGGCTAAGTGCCAAAATGCTCTTCTGACTTGATCTGAATTTGAAGTCCCTTTGACCATTAGTGACACATACCTCTTTCCTTTTTTTCACTCTATAAATCACACCAAACTTATCGGCACAATAAATATACTGTTTAAAAATGTATAGTAAATATAAGGTCATAAGTATAATGATAACTCTTTTGATATTTCTGCCACTTAGCATTTTGTATGAACTGTTGCCTTAAAATCTATTGCATAAAGTATACCATGCTTGAAGATTCTCCTGTGCAAACATGACCAGAAAATATTTTGCAGTTAGAGTGTAATAACTAGAGAGACTTCTGAAGTGTTTCTTCAGTGTTGTGAACATTAATTGGAAAATAAGCTGTCATCTTGGTGGTACAAATTTCTCTATCATTCTCATACATAACATTATTTTTATGTCTTTGATGTTTTATAGACCAAGGTAATTTCCTGACTTGGGGTATACCTCCACCCAATGGCCAAGTGTAAGATAGACATCAGGGAAACTCCACTGGCAGGCTGCTGGCTCTGACACCAGTGTGGCCAGGAGATGGAGGTGGGCTTTGAAGGCAGCCGCAACATACAGCCTCACAGAGTCTGGGAAGGCTAGGTCCTTGGAGTGGTCTCAGAAGAGTGATACAGGGCAACATAAAGATAAAAGTGTCAAGTTACCCTTTCTTTGGTGATAAATTTGTGGCAAGAAAACGTCTTAAAATATCCCCTGCAAAGCATTTGAAGCAGTGATTTTCTCCATTATTTCTCCATCATAAAGCCAAAGACCTGATTTTTTGACAGCAACTTGGTGCCAAAGATAATAAATGTATATAACAGAGTGTCCCTTTTCATTGCCATCTTTTCCCAGAATGATTCAGAGATTTAAATCACTGTCCCCAAAAAAAGAATCATTTATATAATAGAATAAAATACTGCCGTGAACATTACTGGTCAAATATAGAACAGAAAATGAGTAGGGTGATATTTAGTTAAGCAGTCAGTGGCATTTTTCAATGGTTATTAATTTACAATAGATTGTCTATGGCTTGAAAGTCAAAGATCAGGTGTACTTACATTCTAGTCAATGTACATCATATAAAACATCATTGACAGATACCATTTACATTAAAATGAATGCAGAAACAGTAGCTAACAATACTCATAATACATCAAAATTGGCAATAAGCATCAAGCTAACATTTTGAAAACCAGGATGAATTTTAAAATATGAACAAGAGGAGCAACCTCAAATTATATAAGTAAATCAGTTATGCACTCTACCATCAAAAGTTTCTCTTTGACTACTTTAAGCTAATATAAAATTCCACACTAGGATAGTCACACATATCTGAGATTCTCATGCAGAAGTACTTTTCAGTCATATTTCATATTCCTTTTCTAAAGTCAATATTCAGTTAGAGTGATTATTTCCCAATTAAATCAAGTATTCCCAAATAAACTTCTTTTTAGTTTCAAAATATCTTTTCACACTTTGAAAATTATGTGGTCAAACTCTTAAAGGGAATAATAAAATGTTATAATATTTATTAAAAAGTAATGGGTAGAAGAATTCTTACAAAATTTGTATTTCAATTCTTCTAGGATTTAAAAACATTTCCTAAGTGCATTAAATGAAATATACCCACTGCTCATTTTTTAAATCAAAAAAGACTACAATTAACATGAAATTGCTTAAAATAATCAAATTAGCTTCCATGTAGACAATATGCAAAAGAAAAAATACACATTTTAAATAAGAACTTTTTATCAGTAGCCATCTGAAAAGGAAAATATCTGTAAAATTAATAAGATGAAAAGTTGTTTCCCTACATCAAGCATTTGTTTTGTTGTTTATGGTTGTCAAGTTGTATACTACTTCCACCTAGAGGTTTGAGACTCACATATCATTTGGGTTTTCTATGTTGTTTATAGAAGCCCCAATGATGGAAGCCAAAAATGCAAAGGAAGAAACAAAATGAAAAGAAAAAAACCCTAATTTGCTACTTTAATTGTTTAGCTGTTAGTTTTCTGTCAGCTCCAAGTAGAATCTGGCTTTCTCGCCGGATTTGGATATTAATATAACTACATGTAGGCATTCTTTGGACTAATATACTCCTCATAGGGTAGTCTCTTCTTCAGTCAAACATTTCATATAGAAAATGTGAAGAAAAAAAAAAGACCAGCAAACTTTTCAGAGTTTCAAAGACTTACTGGGTCAATTTCCTATACAATACATTTCATTCAAATAATTCTTCCAAACACCTCCACTCTAAAAGATCACAGACACACTTATGGCATTTAATAACCATGGCTATACCTAAAACTAAGAAATCAAACACAACGTCTTACCTGGTTGGGTCCCACACCAGGAAAACCAGCAGCAGAGAACGTACATTGCAGGTGTTCAGTTTTGTCCTCATCTTCCTTGTTTGCGAACCTATAGGAAAATTAAATTAAATTAAATTAAAATTGTATTTAGTCCTACTATCTGAGTAACCCAAAAGAATGCCATTTCAGTTGTAGGGGCTGGGGTTGTTAGTCCAGTGTACTAGGTGTATAGGTGTAGGGCTAGATTAGTGGAGGATTTTTTTTATTTTTATTTTTTAATGGCAAGATGACGCTACTAATAATCCCCTCCCCCGCCCCTGCCACTTAGCTTCCCCAAGCCCCATCCTCAAACACTTCGCTATACACACATGAAATGACAACACCCGGGACTCTAAACTGACACATGCTCTTACGAGGGAATAGATTGGAGGAGTGAGTGGAAAAGAGGTGGAGAGATGGATACTCCATGCCTTGCCCTCCCAGTGAAGACCACCTCCGCAAGCACAACAGCAAAAGCTAGCAGCAAGCAGCCTACTTTTCAACGTCTGTCTTTTCCTTACAGAGAATTGCGGTCCTCGCGTCTTCACTTCCCCAACCACAATCCCCGCCACCGAAAATTAAAAAGAAATAGGAAATCAAATCCAAATCATTCTCCTTGCCCATCCATATTTGCCCACGTCCACGTTCAGGAGGCAGCAGGGTGGGAACAGAGTGCTGCGAACTATGCGTTTGACAGCTGCTCTAGAGCCAAGACTACCAAAAGAGCATGGGGCTTCAAGACCGAACACCAAGCAGCAGGCAGGCAGCGCAGCCACTGTGTGTAAAGTTGGAGACTGTAAAAGAGCCGGGCCAGCGTGCTGCCGCCGGACTGGCTCTGGATTTTTATTGTAGTTGTAAATACGCATGTGGGGAGGGACATTGGAATTAGATTTTGGAAGCTGGAGGGAAAAAGAGAAGCTGAACCGCTGTTTCGAGGGATCATGAATAGTGGAGTGGGTTGGGGGGGGGGACAGCATGCTGGCAAGGCAGAGGAAAATGGGCAAAGGTCGCCCGCTGCCACCAACGTCTCCGACCCTACCTGAACAGCAAGCAGAAGTAGATGTTTTCTTCCAGTGGCTCTGATTCTGAGAAAATGGAAAAAACTTGAGAGAGAGAGAGAGAGAGAGAGAGAGAGAGAGAGAGAGAGAGAGAGAGAGAGAGAGAGAGAGAGAGAGAGAGAGAGAGAGAGAGAGACTGAGACTGCAGCTGCTTAAAGAGCAGGCAGAGAAGGGATGGGTTGGTGGAAGCTGGAGCAGAGCGAGCGAGCGCTAGGAGCCACGGCCGCGCGAGGAGTAGGCGGTGAAGGCGTCCGTAGTGGCGGTGATGGGCGGAGGAGGAGGCAGAGGAGGAGGGAGTAGCGATGGCAGGAGCCTGGGGTGGGGGCGCGGAGGCACGATGCTCGCAGGCAGAGGCGAGCACGAGCCCCGAGCCTGGAGAAGGAGGAGTCAGCCTGAGGAGGAGGGCTAATGAGGTTCCTAGGAATAGGGGACCCCAACCCCCCACCCCAATCCTGGTCAAGTGACTGCCGCTCTCTGGGCACCTGGGGCAGCGCAGCCGGAGAGGCGCGGGGTGCCCCAGTGAGCCCCAGAGCGCCGCTGCCCGCGCCCACACCGCGCTGGAGGAGCAGAGCCTACGCCCGGCTCGGAGCTGCTCTCCTGTGGCCGCGAGCTTCCTGGTGTGAGGGTTAGGGGGGCGCTGCTGGTGAATGTGAGTGAGGAATCCTGAATGGTACGTGTCTGAGAGGCCCTAGGTCCCGCGGACCTTCCCCTGCAGTTGGTCCCCCGACATCATCCTTGGTGGAGCTGCTTGGAAGAGGTAGCGATGTATGGCTCCCACTGGAGGGCGAAGGGGCTAATCACGCCTTTACTTAGTCATCAGCACATCCACACAGGACCAAGTTAAAAGCACGTTATGTGGAATTACACAGCAGGAAGTTTCTTTGATTTCCTTAGCCTTCTGGTTGTACCACTCATTCCTTCGCACTCCCGCAATCAGGACCAATTTCCCCTGAAGCTAGGAGGGCTGGAGGCTTGCCCAGAGCTAGTCAGTGAAGGCCCTGGACTGACCTTACACTTTAGGGAACCTCCTGCCTACTTTCAGCAATGGCTTTTCCCTAATCTTTTTGCCAGGCATTCTCTCTACCTGGTGATCAAGACTCAATCTAAGAGCTATAAAAAGTTTACATTAGTCTGGAGCAAAGGGACCAGCTGCTGAAGCCTTTCCAGCACCTTCCACTGACAGCGAGATGGAGCAGTTTGAGGTTTTACCCCTTTAGGGCTTTTTCTTGGCAGAGACTTGTAATTCCAATCCCATCATACACTTTGAGCATTCTGAGTTTGATCTGTCTGATTTTTCTTCCGTTTTATCTGGGGCCATAAAATCCAGCCATGCAACTTGAACAGAAAAAGGAAAGGGAAACAAAGAAAAAGAAAAGGTTCTCTCATTATTTTTCCTTTCTGTACTGCATACTAGAGTACTACCTACATTCTACTCAGACAAATCAGAGCTGGTATTTATCTTTTTCCAAAAGTTGTAATTAACCTGAGAAGCTGTAAAAGGGGGAGAGTTTAGTATTTTACATCTAGTTATTTTATATTCAGAATCAATATGTGCCAAATACATCAATTTTGGTAGTTGGGCACAATAAGTAAGTAAGTAAGTAAATAAATAAATAAATAAATAAAATAAGTTTTTTTTTCCCTAGATGTTGCAGTTTCCCTAATAGGCAGTGCAATCTACAGTAAATATTAGCTTTGCTTTGAAAATTATGGGGGAAGAGGAAAACCTTAAAATGGAAATGTTTCAGGCTGTTCATTTTAACATATAAGCCACCACTCTACCAATGAGCATGTAGTATTATAACCTAAACATGCACCCGCTCTTATTTAGCTGGCTCTGTGAAAAAAGGAACAGCATGCAGCCTCCTCCTCCATCATTAATATTCCTTTCCTTACTTGGCCATTGCGTAGTCTAATTGAAATTCACAAAGATAAAAAGCATGCCATTTAAAATCTTGCAAGCAGGGATCCTAGAGTCTTTTACTTGGTGAGAACATTTTACTTCCCATAGTCTTCCCCTTCAGCTCCCATGTGTCAGCTACTGTTAGGAACCCTCTCATATGCCATGGAAATCACCACTAAGCTGTCTATATTTTGATCAATGCAGCCATATTTGCCATTACCCCTACAAAATTTCTCTTTCATGACCCTCATAATCTCTCAATATGTTCACATTCTGTTCTGATGCATTCTTATACTATTTTTCTCTTGATTTTGATATTGAAGAAACTAGATTCTGGTTGTAATTGCTTGTGCTTCCATTTTAAAACTTCTATGTATTGAAGTTATTTCTTTAAAAAATTAATTTTGTCTGTTAACACTGTGATTAAACTTGTTAATATCACTGGCATGTGATCTGCATTTGAAAAAATTCTTGAAGTTCAAATAAGCTGTCTGGAATGGTGTGGTGTGTGTGTGTGTGTGTTTCTTTGTGCTTTTTTTTTTTTTTTTTTTTTTTTTTTTTGGTCTGTTTTGTTTCTCTCTCCCCACCACTTAGTTTCTTTGAAAGTGTATGTTTAAACAGTTCGAAGATTTAGACATTTAGACACACATTTCCTGGACCTAGAGTAAAGCTAGATTTTTAAAAATCATAATACTCTAATTTTTAGTCCCCCCTCCCATAAAATGATTCATGATTTCCATTGATGTTAGAAATCTATGATTTAAACTTCAACGTGGACATTAAAGGAATTGGGAATCAGAAATGCTGATGGCTGAGAGCAGTCATCTGCCTCAAAGCAGTATCCAGACAGATTTGGGTGGCAGTACTGGAGTTGTCTAATCTCTTCAAAGGTCTGAAAGCAGTCTTCTTTTCCTCTTAGCTCTCTATGAAAGAGTGTGGGTTAACTGCCTGAACTTGAGAGCCTGGCCTGGGTTTGGTGACTAAGCTTTTTCTACCTGTTTCCCTTGGAACATGTCCTAGAGAAAATGACCCTGAAAAATTGATAGCTAATTGGTTGCCAGTAAATCCATTCCCATCCATGCTTGGGCAGTGCAGAACCTCTTGTATTGAACCCATTTGATTTACTCATCCAAATTGGATTGGAGCAAGAGGAGCATTACCTCTCCAGTATCCAAGGCCAAATGATTTCCAAGAAAAAAAAAAGCAGAAAAATTTGGAGACCTTTTATTTCTGTTGTATTTTTTTTAATATCTCATAATACTGTGTAATTTTGAAAAACTTGGTTCAAAACTGTTGCTTTCATTTCCACAGATGAACTGGACACTGCTTTTCTAAGACCTCTGCATGCCTACAGGACATCACAATACTTGAAACTTTCTTATAGAAAATGAATGGTATGCATAGTTATGGGTATATATGTATATACATTAAAAGTGCATTGTAGGTGGTTCTTTTTACAGCATAGGGCAGCTAGTATAGAGATAACTTGTCAACCTGCAGAACATACAAGACTGTGGAGTGCTCAGCTCTAACTAAGGCAGCTACAACACAACAGTTCTTTCAAGTGTCAGGGGCCATCATAGAAAAGAGAGTGGAACTACTATAAGAGCCAGAGACAGTAGAAATCTGCAGTAAGGCAGTGCTTGCTGGACAGGTCAAGGCTGTCACAGGCATGAACTCACAAAAGTTGTGACTTCATGAACAACACCTGCACAAGATCAAACCAGACACAATGTCTCATGAAGTCCTAGCCCACACTGAAAACCTACTGATAGACACGTGGGAGGGAGAATAAGTGTTCACCAGGGATGAGGCCAAAAGACCACCCATGCATCAAAAGATGGTCCTACATCCATGTTCATACAGACTTGAACTAAGTGGATTCAGTGGGTTAAAAAAATAAGCATATGGAGTTGGGAGGGGAAATTAATGGAAGACACTGTAGAGTAATTGGAGGATAAAGGGAGCAGATTTGATCAAAATGTATTACATGCATTTATATATAAATTTTACCAACTTTTCAAAATTGGTGAAAAGAAAACATATGATTATTAAAACAATATGTGTACAATAAAAAGCTATGTGAAATAACTGATTAAATAAAATTA